CTAAGTAATATATCCCATAGTATTGAACGCCGGCTTGCTAAGTAATATATCCCATAGTGCCGAACGCCGGCTTGCTAAGTAATATATCCCATAGTGCCGAACGCCGGCTTGCTAAGTAATATATCCCATAGTGCCGAACGCTGGCTTGCTAAGTAATATATCCCATAGTGCCGAACGCCGGCTTGCTAAGTAATATATCCCATAGTGCCGAACGCCGGCTTGCTATGCAATATATCCCATAGTGCCGAACGCCGGCTTGCTATGCAATATATCCCATAGTGCCGAACGCCGGCTTGCTAAGTAATATATCCCAGACCTTGACATGCAGTGTTTAACATGATAGTCAAGATTGTACATGTCATGCGAGGGTGGTTATAATGTTTGGGCCCAATGGTGTATATCAGTAATAACAGAAGGTATTCGCATCCCTTTGGGGGTGTTGGTGCGGTGATTCCTTTTGTTTTTGTCACTGTAAGTATTATAGCGTGTTCAAAGCCCAGAGGTGGATGAGGCACACAAGCTGAAGCTGAGAGGAGCAGAGATGTAGGTCCTACGCACTGGGGAAACGGCGTAATCCTGACAGGTAGCGAAGGATGGCAGACTCAACAGTCACCAATCATCTTCCCAGATCACTGATGGCAGACTCTGCGTTGCTAGGGGTGTGGCGAAGCTGTATAGGTACTCTGCGTATCAGTATGCCATCCAGATCATGAAGAAGCTTCTTCAAAGTTTTTTCTGAAGGCATCTGCTGAATGTCAAATAGATCGGCTACCACGATTAGCTTAGAATCTTGGACTCTGAAAGCTTCTTTGTCCTGTAGCTTTCCCTGCCAAAATATGAAGATCCACTTCAGTCTTTCACTATGTGTCAAGGTCACGGACACACACACACACACACACAGGGTGTCCTCTGGCCGGGCCGTGGGCTTCATAGTCCGCCCGCAACAAAGAGGTTAGCATCCGCTGTTTGCAGCTGAGACGTCCACGAGCACGCTAATAAGCGAGAAACCATGGCAACAGCAGATTGCTCCCGGCCGACGCGCGCTGCACGACACCATAACGTGACTGGAGTTTAAGAGGACGCTTCCCTAAGGGAGGGAGAAAACAAATACCCACTGAAGCCAGAATGGGTGTAAAAAGCATCTGTGAGAATAACATTCGCACACTCACAGAATTGCAGGTTCTGCCGTTAACCCGTCCCCAAAGCATCAGATGCCTTTACACTAATGGATGAAGGCTTCCGTGTAATTCAGGTGTTCATGTGATACAGGATAGTGATGCTTTATTCACCTCTGTGGAGAAAAACCCTGTTCGCCGACCCCATCTCACACACAGACACACACACACACACACAATGCACAACAGTGGCGGCAAGTCCTGGGATTTGATCCACCGACCTTCTGATCACAGGCACAGAATCCCAACCTGCTGAGCCACACGTTGTCCCCACCAAACTTCCATGCATAAAACCCTTCACCCCCCCCCCATCCCCCCACAGGCCTGAAAAAATAAGGATGAACAAACACAGCTGTAAAGTATGTGAACTTTAATACAAAACACAATGACAACCTGCCACGTGCACCAATGGAGTGAGGGGCCCGCAGACGCCCCCCTTCACAGCTCTGACATCACAAAGGGCCCCCCAACACCTGCAGCCTCTGCGCTTTACTCTTTATTTCTTATTACAAAAGTTAAAAAACGTTCCGGAAATAAAATACTTTACATTTCTTGAATCAGCATTTATAGTCCTCTGTCTTACTCATTTTACAAAAAATACTTATTTTCTAAAATATTTGACAAAATCCCAATGAAATAACATATAAACTGAAAATATTTCCATGGAAAAAGCCAGGTATACTTTTTTTTTTTATTTACAATGACTTTGAATTAATAAATTACCCAATTCTTTCAATCAGATCTGAATGCACTGCTGATTAATACTTTTTCCTCCCAATCTTAACATGCAAGAAAAACTAAGAAATCACATGTAAGACATCAAAAAGGAGAATGCAAACATCTCGTTTAAATTTAGCATCTTTTTGTTAACTGCTGGTATCTTTGGGAAATAAAAAAGTAAAAATTAAAACATCTGAGCATTTACAAAATGCGAAACAGCAACCCCTCCCCCCCCCCTCCACCCCCAGTTACAAACAGTGGAAAAAGCAAACAGTGAACGATCATTGCTAGCACACAACCAGCGCGTTAGCTTCACTAGGTTAGAAGGACGTTTCGGGACATGCAGACGGTAAGCGGCTGGGTTCATAACATGCTCTCACAGTACAGTGAAGCACCACAGGACACAGACAGCAGGGCGCTTTGCATCGCAGGTAAATCATTACTGAGAAGTGCATGTATCCCGTGGGACACTGCAGAGCGCGGTAGCGATCTACGCATTCTGTCTGTCTTCATTAGTGAAGCGGATGCTCAGCATAATTCACTGTATTCTGTAATGTGGCTTTTTTATACACGTTTGGGGCAAATAAAACGTTAAGCAGCTGGTCTGCTGGCTTCTCTTCAATGTATCCGCCCCTGGTTCGAGTCCCACTGGCCCTCATCGGCTGCTCTTAAACACAGTGTGTGGTCCTACGTCAGGTCAGACCCAAACTCCAGGGGTCTCGCTTTCAACAAGGGTGCCCCCTGTTCTCCAAGTACAGGGGCCTCCGCCCAGTCCTGCCCTCCTGCCTCACCTTAGCGGGACGGCACCTGCTCACTTCCGTTTCACACGGCTGCTATGCCAAGCCCCTCCCCCGGAGGAGGGAATCCCACACAGGCTCCTCATACACCAGATTCTACCTACTCGACATCGCACGTTTGCAATGAAGCATGCCAACACCGCCACGGCCCACGGAAGCAACCCGTAGCAACACCAACTGCAAGTCTACCGCAGCACTGGTTACCACAGTACCCCTTAAAAGTAGCACTACTTGCCCCGTGACCTTGTCCAGTAGCATTACAATGACACCGACCTGACACAAACCAGTCCCGGCCCTTTAAGGCGCAGTGACGCTTGTGCGGCGGCTCCAAGAAGTCACCCTGCTCTCAGACAGTCTGGCCTCCCTTCACTGCACATCTCTGGTTTGGTTATTCCATCGTTTTTGCTGGCAGCAGGATTGAAACTAAGTGAAACCTGCACGCCTTCCTAATCCAGGGCTTCTTGCAGGAGAATATGCAAGATTCAGATGGCAGCAGTGACCCTTAAAGTTCTCACAAGCCTGAAACACAGGAATTACTTTTAACAAATTATACTGAGGTTTTTTTTTTTGGTTCTTTTTAGACTGACATTTAAGGACAGCTACCAAGACGCTGAATTCCACATGATTTAGGGAGCAGCTGATTTTAGCCAAGTCACGAAGTTATTGCACAAATGAGCCCAAACCAAAGCATTCCTCCTACTCCCCCACCCTCCTGTACACGTTCACGCCATAGTCGCCCAGCTTCAGTTTTAACCAATCACAGCTGTAGATCAGTGTTTCTTAATTGGAACACGGGACTGACTAAAATCACAGACCACATGAGCCGCGGAAGACAGTGAACCATGATAGCTGCCGTTTGGACGGAGAACTACAAAGACACAGACCAGTAACAGACATACACAATGGATTCTTTGACTAATTTCTGGATGGTACACCCAGCCTATGCACTAACACAGCCAATAAGGAAATAGAACATGCATTGTTAAAACCAAATAATAATCGCCACCACAAGTTCTACGGTTCACAATACAATCGATCACTGTGGAAGCAGGTGGACCTTGGACTCCAGCAAGATGGACGTTAAAACGTGTCCGTTTGGCAAACTTGAGCTTTGTGTCCACCCTTTGCTTCAGGAACGGCATAAATTAAAAGCATAATGCCCTCCGCAAAAATGTTAAAGCGGCTTCCTCGAAAACGGCGCTCTCTCACAGGCACAGGAAGGTTCCGCAGCTTAGCATTGAAACTGCAGTGTCCAATCAGAAGAGGTACGAGTGATTTTCAGAGGCCAACAAGAAGCCCCTGCAGATGGAGAACGCAAAGGCGGCTGTCACACTGCCGAGGTCATCGGCCTCCACATCAGACCCCAAGCCCCCTGTGTACTACATACACTTTGTCCACAATTGTTCCAAAGCATCTAGAGCTACACTGACGACTTAAAGAGTTACAAAACCCAGAGATCAAGCTGCGATGTCTCAACTGTTTGCTCACTCACTCACTCGCTCTCTCGCTCGCTCTCTCGCTCTCTCACACACACACATTCATTATATTTGAAAGTTCTCACTCCTCATTCCAGGAACATCTCTGCTACGGAAGGGCAACGCAGCTGCAGACGATACACGCGCTGCCTTTTACGGGAAGAGCATCCCCACAATGAGAACCGGCTTGCGGCAGCGCACCAGTGTGGAACACTTTAATGGAAAAGAACAGTAACATACAACCTGTGGATCCGGAATCCACCTCCCAGACTGGGGGGTCGCCAAGATCCACCGCTTAGCGAAGCGCTAGGCTACCAATGACTTAGTAGCAGGCAGATCTCACCTGGCAAAGCCTGCCTGGGAGCACTACGCACGAGGATTATTCTGATCAATCTGGAAAAATATCTTTCTTAACCCCCCCCCCCCCCTTTGTGTTTTAAATTTTTAAGGGATAAATCTTTGCTTTTACAATGTACACTTCAAATTTACAGGCAGAAAAGCGATGAAAGTAGAAAAAAAGATGGAAGGAACCAACAATGGCATTAGAATCTGGTAGTTTGGTCCATCTGGAACCTACAGGGCGAGCGAGGAGACGCAGGATGCGACTGCTAGGAGGTGTCCCGCGATATCCAGCCGCTCTCCGTCAGGAAGCTCAGGATCCTCTTTTTGAGAACTTTGTCCAGGTAGCTGGGCAGGCGGCTTTTGGCGGGAATGCCCTGCCTCTTCTGCAGGTGGTCTTTTATGATGATGGTCTTCACCGTCACGTAACGCATGGGGCTAAGGTTCAAGGAGTTGCACAGGACCTTCTCACGGTCCGACAGCAGCTCGAAGCCTGAGAGGTTCTCGATGGCGGAGAACTCACCTTCCTTGCCTTCCTCCTTCATGCCACCGGCCCCGCCCCCACCACCTGCCCCGCCCCCAGCACCTGCCCCGCCCCCTCCTCCCCGTTTTGACTGTGTCACGCTCTTGTTCTCCTTCCGCTTCTCACGCTTGTGCCGCGCCGCCTCGTACTCCAGAGAGTCGTCCAGCTTGGTGATGCCGTTGCGCCGGTATCGCTGCAGCTCTCGCACCTTGGCCCGCAGCGCCCGTTCCTTGTGCATGTTCTCGAAGAACTCCTCGAACTCCCGATGGGCCATGAACTGACACAGCGCCCGCAGTTTCAGCCGCTGCTCCTTCTCCTCCTTGGTGATCTTGCGCTTGGGCACGGCCGGAGCTGACGACGAGCTCACGGTACCTAAAGGTGCCGATGACGCCGCACCCAACCCGACCCCACCCCCGACCCCACCCACCCCACCCAGGACAGGCTTGTCCTTCTCCTTGTCCTTCTTGTCCTTGCCCAGGAAGGTGGGCACCAGGTTGTAGTCTCGGGCGATGTTCTTGCGCCGCTGGCGCTCACGGAGCTTGCGGACGTACATGTCCACGTGGGCGCGCTTCATCTCTATCTCCACGTCGTCGTCGTCGTAGTTGACGGACAGGCCGCTGATAAGCTTTTCCGCCTCCTGATCGTACTCGATCTCGTAATCATCGCGCAACGGCATGTAGCCCAGCTGCTGCTGCTCGGCGACAGAGATGTCCAGCGGGGGCAGGGGCGTGGTCAGGCTGGGGGACAACGGGCCCCCACTGGGGCACGTGTGGTCCGTCACCCGGTTGGGGATGCTGTCAGGGATGCAGGCCTTGCCGAGGTTACCATGGATGTACATGCTGACATAGTGGTCCATCACCTCCTGGGGGCTCCGCGATGCCCCCACGTGCGCGGCCATGTCCTCCTGCCAACACAGAGATGCAGGTGTTGCGCATACTCTGCATAATGATACACAGCTAAAACCATACGTTGTGAAATCTGTTTTGCTATTGGAAATATAATTACATGTGACATTTCATAATAATAAAACAAGGAAGCAAAAAATGCAATTCATACAGCTGATTATTACCTAAAAACTTAATTTATGCATGTGTATCACGTACTAATTGCAAGAAGCACCGACTGTTTTACTGAGCGAGTCACCTTTACTAACCGGAGAAGTCCTAATTTATTATTATATTTAGCGTAAATAATATACATGACAAACCTGAAAACACGACCTAACAGAAAACGATATAGTTTAACCGCAGTTTTTTCCAATCTTTTCCCATAGTAATAAATGTACGGAAAACTGTATTCTGCTCGTCAGTTCTTTTGAGCAAAATATTTACAGCGCCGTACGTGAACACGCATATACACCAGCGTTTCTCTGCTTACGGAAACCACCAGTGCTGGCTACTTTATGTTATATGCATTTCTTTTCTCGACTGCACGCCTCTTCCACATATGGGTATGGCAGAGGGGGACTCTCCTAGACTTCAGAGTAGGATCAGTCTCTTCAAATAAACAGAATCAATCGTTAAAGCCATCAAATAACACATGCATCTTCGAAGAAATGTGCAGGAGTTTCGGTGCTAAACGACTTTCATATGCAACGGTTAGGAAGCTGGTGTTGTTAATGAATGTAAGGATTATGCACGTCCTTGCTAGCTAGGTAGAAGAGCCTACCCAGTTGCCAAAGCCGAACTGCTCGATCGCATCGAGCAGCAGCTGCTCTTCCCTGCTGGTCCATCCTCCCTCTGCTTCGGGACCCCAGAGAGTGAAGCGCCCGCCGTCCACTTGCTGGTAGCCGTGCCATCGCCGGTGGCTGCCTATTTCTGCCCCGGCGGAGAAACACTCCGGACACAATTCAATGTCCTGGCAATCCGTGCAGCGAAGCCTGAGGTTCGTCACGTCTGCTAGGCAGTTCACGCAGTACTTCTTCCCCAGGTCGGCCATGTCGCTGGCTCCTGCTTGTTGTTGGAAGCAGCGGCGCCTCGAAGGCAGGGCATGCGTACTGTCACGCATGCGTACAACGTACTGCGTCTCATTAATATTAATGAGGCGCAGGTCGCTATGATTGGTCAACCCTTCTTCGCCCCCTCTCCGTTACCATAACAATCCCGAAACACGACCTAGGCAACTCGGTGAGCCGTGTCTCAATGCTTTTGCTTGTATTTCGGAACCAAATAATAATAATAAATCGGATTAATTAACAGCTTTACTTACATTATTGAAATATAATAACACATTAAGGGCAATAATAATATATGGAATTGGAGGAATCTAGTGTAAAAACTGAACTTTTAATGGATAGGTTAAACTCTGCTGATGACAGTGAAAGCACAGAACAGACGAAGGAAGATGAAAGTACAGAAAAGACACGAACTGGAGAGAAGTTTGATGACAAATTACCAGGCAGCAGTGGCAGTGATGACAAAATAGAAAGTGCAACTGGCAATACAGACACAGCGGAAGGAACAGGAGATGCCATGTATGACAATGGGGACCAGGAGACAGGAGCCAGTCACAGCAACTGTGAACATGAGGAGGGGATAAGAACATCAGAGAGCGCTGAGCCAGAAACCAGGGTCACCAGTGAGGCTGAAGTCGGCCAAGAGGTTCGAGACGAGCTGCTGGACAGCAAAATGTTTGACCAGGAGGAATCAGGAGACTCCCACCTCCTAACTAGGGAGACACTATCCGGTGAGGAAGGCCGGCCGTTTACAGAAGTAGGCACTGTGATGGGGAAGGGGGCCCTTAGCGTAAGCCCCAGCACACCTGAGCAGAAGGGCTGCCTGGTGGAGGAGGTCCAGGGGAGCGAGCTGAGCTACGAGGAGAGCAAGAGGGAGCTGGAGGAGCTTCAGGCCGAAAGGGATCAGCTCAGCCAGCTGAACGGGCAGTTTCAGGCAAAGCTGGCGGAGTATTTCCTCCAGAGGAGGGGAGAGGAGGAGCAGACTGAGAGGAGCGATGGGCACCGTTACCTCGTCTTCACCTCCCACATACAGGAGATCAGGCAGCAGCACCAGCAGCACAAAGAGCACTTTGGGAGGCAAGAGGAGGAGCTGCGGCAGCAGGTGCAGGAGAGCCTTCGCCAGGCAGAGTTGGAGTGGCAGGTCCTCCAGGCCCGGAAGCAGGAGGTGGCAGGACCAGCGTTGGCCTGGCATCTGGGTAAGGAATCTGCAAAGGCCCAGATGGAGCAGATCCAGGCAGCCGAGCGGCACA